GGGGGGGCTACAGTGTGTTTATCTGGATATAATAAAGCAGCAAAAAGGTTCCCCCAACAAAGAGTCACACAGTGGGCAGCTGAATTAAAATACAGTGTGCTGGTAATGAGCTATCTAAATTCAGAGTTCATATTGCTTGGAATTACACAAAAGCAAGGCTCCGGGCAGCACTGGCAAAAAACTGTATAGCTCTTTCTGCCTCGCTGCCAGGAGATTCTCCCTGTTGAACTGGGACACGGTCGGTCCTGGGGAAATCGATTGAGCCGCAGCGTGTATCTAGCGAACGCAATAATTCCTTTGTAAACGACATCACCTCCTTGCCTATCTTTGCATACTTGGCAGCTGTCAACACGTTGGCTTCAATCCATCACTCTCGCTCCGAGCGCACGCACACACACACACACATATGCAAGAGGGATGTTAACACTTCAAGCTCTGATTACTGACAACTAAGTAAGAAACACACGCTTGCATGCCGAGTCTGACTGGATGACTCGAGGGTGACGGTGCTTAAAGGAAGTCGCCTTCCTGGAATGAAACGGTGGCTAAACACAAAATGACAGGAGCGGCGGCGCTTCGAAGTTATCTGGGAAACAACTTTGTATACTGGCCCTGCAGAGGCAAATCCCTCTCCGGCGCCTGACACGGATGCACTCTTTCAGTTGTTATCTCAAAAGCTGAAAGTGAGAACCAGACTTGGAGTTAAGGAATAAAAGAAAATAGGGAATGGTGCTTCTTATTGTGTCTGCTTCCCAGAAGCTGTGACAGGAAGCAGGAAAGGGTGGTAAAGGTTGGGCAATGTACAGAGCAACAGATAGCAGCAGATACTGGATACAATAGCCTCTTATTTTCTCCTGGATTTAAGTGCACTATACAGTGTCCCAGGAGAATCAATTAGAACCATGGTGTGCTTGGTTTTTTCCACCCCCATTGACTTGGCAGTAATTTGTTTACTTCACAGCCAAGCTCTGGATAACAAAAAACACACACACACGCAATAAATCCTTCCTTACAAAGCAACCTTACCCTTTCTTTCTGGCCATATTACATCTATGAACTAATCCAGTTAATACCCTAATAGGTAACATGTATTTGCACATGATAGACAGCCCCACTGTTGCTTGCGTGCAACTGAAAAGTGCATTAAAGGCAAAACTTTGACCTCTTGGCCAGGTCGCAGCCCACAGCAGGTCTATTAGCATATATTTTCCTTCCACACACACACACACACACACATACACACACACACGGAAAAGATTGCAGCTGTAGGCAGCCAGACGACCAGCAGCAGGGAGGATCTTCCCCGTGTCAGAAGGCGAGGAGGATGAACAGCTTATCACAGTTCTGGTGCCGCGTGGCTGCCAGACGAAACTGACAGGTGTCACCTTGTTATTTTGCTGTGCAAAAGCCCGCCCAGGTCTACAGGGAGTTGATTAGCACGAACTTGTTGCCGCATTTACCTGCTTACCTACGGCACATGCCAGTCTCACAAGAGGACCGAGCGGCCCCGCTGCAGTGGGGATGCTGGGAGACCTAAAATTAGCTCAGCAGCGAAGCAAAACTGCCAACAGTATGGCACAGATTTATGACATCTGGACGTCATTATGGTATATCAGGTGGCTTGGGGGATTTTTCGCGGCGCGTGTTTTGTAATTTGAAATGAGCCAAAAGTAAGTGCCAGTACTTAGAGGCAGTTTGTGGACTGACACAGGTACACACACAAAAGCGCATGACTTTTAAAGGAGACTCATAAAAGTTTGATTGGATCTTGAAAGCTTCGACTGCTTTTGCAGAATTTGCCATATTTAGCTGCTTACATAGGTACATATCTTTGCAACACTAAGCTGGGGGCTGCCACGTTACATACATGTGCGTGGCATGTGTATCCTCAGGCAAAGACATTGCCTTAGTCCTTTTCCAAGATCCTGGACTTCAGAAGTGAGTCATGCAGATTCTCTCAAACAATAAGCTCATGACAGGTCACACACACACTAACCCCCCCTGCTTTAACTATATTCTGTCATGTATTTTCTTACATGCATGCGAATATATATACACGCAGTCTTGGATGATTTTTTTCGTTTGTTTGTTTAATTAAAACTTCTTCTTCGCTTTTCCCCTGCCTATTCCTCTGCCTGTCAGTCACAAACAGCAGAAAACAGGAAAGCCTGTAACCTCAAATAGTGCACGAGGATGCTTCATCTACACTCAACATGCCACAAACATAAAGAAACAAATGTGAAGAGGGTGAGCTATCCTAATCAATTTTCTAGCGATGCCACCTGAGATTAGCCCACCCTATAATATAGGCCATAACAAGGTCACTGTACGCTCTTTATTGAGTAACACAGAGCGACTGTAGTGATGCCACAGAAGATAAAAACGAATACTTCCGAGTGCCGTCGGGGGCTTAGTTATTATCAAGTGCTAAGTATCCACAAGTCCACGCAGAAACACCAGCGGAAAATTACAGCCCTGTCTTGGAGTGAGGAACAAAACGCGCACACAGTGCAATCAGCAGAAACATCAATTAGTTCGCTGTATCAGATGGTCATCTCTGCATCCACGCACAGCAGTTCTGACCACAGCCACCCACTATAATAATAATAAAGCACACTGGCAGACGGGCACCACGCAGAACACGCTGCCCTTCACCTACCGTACCTTTGGTGTGAGCGGCGCTCAACCCCAAAACCAGAGCAGCCAGCACGCCGGCTATTCTCAGCATCTTCTCGTTGGAGATTCAGGAGAGGGACTAAGGCGACCTCCTTCCTCCTCTTCTCTCCTCTTAATGCCTTTTTTTATTTTCCTCCTCCTCCTCTCTCTCTTTCTCTCTCTCTCTCTCTTTCTCCTTTCCGCCCTCTCTCTCTCCGCGGGGTCTCTCCTCTCTCTGTTGAGGCAGTGTGGAAACAGTTCACTGATATGTGGGACAAGCCGGGGGAGCGTGGAAGTAGAAGGACAGCGGATACCCGCAACGCACCTCGCCGCTCGGCACCGCGCGCGTCGCACCGCAGGCTGCTCGGACTGTGGAGACGGGACCAGAGAGCGGCGGACCCCCGGGACCACACCGAGCTACGTCATGAAGAGGAGAGAGATGGACCCGGGCGCTTTTCCTTTTCTTTCTTTTCTTTTTCTTTTTTTTTCTGTCGCTCTCCCCGTCTCCCTCTCACTCTCTCATCCTCCGCCCTCCTCGCTCTCCTCCTCCTCCCTTTCCCTATCTGTAGAGCATCCCAGCCCACTCCAACAGCAGCGTGCAGTGATCCCTAATGTTACAAAAAACGAGAGGGTGAGGGAGTTTGAAAAGAAGCTATTTGAATGGATTCCGTGTACAACACTGTTGGGTTGTCGGCGAGTATTTCTGTAATGAAAAATAAAGCCGAAACAATTGAACTACAAGCGCTAAAGGCTCATTACAACACCATCAGAGTTAAACGCTACAATGCCATTAGAAAGCAGTGCATATAACAATGCTGTAATTGCGATGAAGGGAAAAGGGCCATGCAATTAAGGCACGGTAAATTCAAACGGAATATCCAGGAAGTGATTTTAATACTGCAGCGTTTTTTTTGTTGCCACTCATTAAAGTGTTGTTGCTCTAAAGCAGTCCTAATTTACTGTGCAGGCTGGTGTGTCCGCAAGTCTGATCTGTAGTTTTGAATAATCTACAATTTAACTGACATGGACATTTGTGGATTTACAGACTCCAGTTGTTTTAAGCCTGAAACACAGACACTCGAATGTAAGTTGCAAAAATTTTACTGCTTTGTTTTTGGTTTTTGGGTTTGTTTGGGGTTTTTTTTTTGTTTTGTTTTTTTTTTTTAGAAAGATTGTAAAGTATTTAAAAAGACGTTAATGAGTTTTTCGTTTGGTTTTTTTGGGAGGGGGCTGGATGTCATATTTAGCCCAGAGGTTGGCTGTGAACCTATGAGCAGAGAGCTAGCAAGGTTTGTTAGCAAGCTGCACAGACACTTCTCTGTCTGTAGTGAGGCAGAAACTTCTAGGACAAGCTTCGCATCACAACAGGACAGATATATAATTTGAGAGTATATTTATTAATATTCCAAAAGGTGCCAATGCCACAACCATGGCTAAGAGGTCCTTTTGAGTGTCTGGAGGTGAGGCCTAGCTGACGAGCTTTAGCTGCCCAAATGAGCAAACAGGCCTCTACATTTAAGCCTTAGGAGCAGAGGTGTCTAACATAAGGCCCGGGGGTAAGAATCAGCCCACTAAACACTCTTATCCGGCCCACTGGACACCTTTGGAAAATGAAAAGAACCGCATAGATTTTTTTCCTCCTGACAAAAAGTAATACAGGGTGTTTCAAAAAGAATTGTCCAATTTCAAAAGACTATATATTTTTTTAAAGTAACGGGCATAGAAGCTTGGGGTAAAGTTTAAGATACGTGGCTGAATATAAATACATACAAAATTTACAATGTTCACAAGTGTGTGTCCCTCTGAAAACACTTGAACCTGCTCTTTCCCACAGTACATATTTCGATCATTACCGGTGAACGGCTGTGGAATTAAAGCACTTTGAAATCACATGATTATTTTTGATATACAGCCTGTTGCTGAACATTTAAATAAACAAAAATACATTTAAGACTACAATATACACTTCTGTTTTGTATTTATCATGGGTCCACTGTATTTTTTAATTTTCTTTTGAATTAGCAAAAGCTTTGTTTAGTTATTACAAAGTAGTCTGTGAAATAAGCTACCAGAAATTGTTATTTCTTACAATTTATGCACAAAGAGTTATGTTGGTAGATTTCTTACAGTTACCACAGCAGCATTTCTTTAGCATGTAGAAAAACGGAGACTTACCATTGAAACTGCACTGCTTATATGAAGCTAGAAGAAGAATTCAATGTGTAGTTAAACTGGGAGTTTCACTGGTCTGGTCCATGTAGGTTGAAAGTGGGCTGTATGTGGCCCACGGTGTAAAATTAGTCTGACATCTCACATCAAACATAATCATGATTATGATGGATTTTTTTTTTTTTTTTTAAAATCACCCGCCATACAGGTGTGATGAAGGAGGAAACTATCCATAAAGCCCAAGTGACTATTAGAGGAACTGCAGTTTTTGGCACTTTCACACTGGATTTATTTTGACAGTGCCAGAGGTTGTTGCTTGGTTCAGACATTTACCCTGTTTCGTGAAACGGGCAATGAAATTAAAAATCACTGTGCAACATGACTCATGTCTGCAGAGAAAGAGCACAATTTCTTTGCATGTTTCAAATTGGGAGTGGGGGGAAATCTCATTTCATTCTTCTGCTTTTGTCTGGAAGGTGTGTGTGTGTGTCATTGTGTATGTGTGGGTGTGTGCTGGCATGCGTGCAGGTTTGTATATGCCTTGTTGTTGATGCTGGGCAGCGGGATTAATAATAAGTTTTTCAATTTTCCTGAGTAGCCTATCTCAAAAGGGATTTTTCTTCTTTTGGACCATCTCTTCTGGTTAAGGATTATTCTGGGAGGCAGAGGAAAATATTGCCTCCGTTATCTACGGGGGGTAAGAAACAGATGATAATGCTCTGATTTAAATCCACACAATCCTGTGATGAAATTAAATTTTGGTCTTCGTTTCACTGGAAAATGACCAAAGTGGTGTATAGCTCACAAGGGCGTGTGTACAAAGAGGTGACGGGGCAGAGCAGTGTCTTTCTAGCTAGCATGCTTCGACTTTAACAACCCAAGGAATATGTTGCATAAAGAAGACTCGAGTGAACGGTTGGGTGACATATTAAAGGGGAAAAATATCAACAAAATGCATCACAGTAGGAAAATAAAGTGTTGAGTGATCATTTGCACCCAGAACAGCTTGAGTAAACACTGGGATTGAGTCTAAAATATACTCCCTTATTTGTTATTTTAATGCTCATTGAAATCATTTTCATAGTCAAACCATTCGCTGTGTACTCAGATGAAGGTGAGCTACATGAGCAACTTTACAGGCTAGCATAACGGAGACATCAGGACTCAGAGGGTTAAGCTTTTGCTACAGTTCATCACCTGTTCCTTTAATGTTTTGTTTCCTCTTTTTTGTTATTCATAGCTGAAAGAGAATCTTTTACACTTTTTTAAATTTTCTGACTATACAGTTACAGTGGTGGATATATGTATGGGCTGGTATACGACATATGTATTGGCTCTCATATAGCGCTCTTCTGCTTTACTTGAGCACTCAAAGGGTTTTATACAATATGTCTCATTCACCCATATAGCCATACGAGCACTTGTTTCTATATTCTTTAAGTGCTTTCTATCTAACATTTGCACTCTGACTAACACACCAGGAGAAACTCAGGGTTCAGGATCTTGTCTAAGGTCACTTTGGCATGCACATGCACATATTAAACATAAACATCACGTTCTGCACAATCAGTTTCTGCTAGTTTCTTCTATTGTTATCTCTGTGATGTATGACACACGATGGCATATCCTTAAAGATCCCACAGCTCCAGCCCTGAGCTAGTCTCATGTAGCTGTTGTTCAAATCTTTTGCTTGCGAGGGGCCACCAATCAGCAGAAGGTTGGCTTAAAGGGAGGGGGAAGGAAAGTGAAGCGTCAGTTTCAGATGAACAATCAACTGAGGTGATGTGTTCTTTAAAGCTGCAATAGTAGAGTCCGAAAATAACAACACGGAGCTTCTAATCAGTCCCCTTTAAACACCTCTGAGGATATATACTATATAAGCTATTATATTCCACAAGGCTTTAAAGCTTAAGGACAGCTCTTCTCCAAATTATTAATCTGCAGACGCAAATGCTATATCACAGAAAAGCAGGGCCCATAATAATGCAGCAAGGCAAGTCACCTGGCAAGATACGTCCTGAATGTGACAGAAGTTTCCATATCAGTAACTGAGCTGCATCAGGCAAAACACTTCAATTTTTTTCATCAGGGCTATTTTCAAAATTACAACCTGCTGCAAATGGCCAATTTTGTGAGAATCCCGTTTCTGCTCTCCAGGTTTTTGATGCTTTTTCATTATTGACACACATTATGCCCACCAGGCTACCGTATCTACCACCCTGGGAATAGTGAATTGGGAGCCATAATGCTAATGCGATATCACACCATGTCCGTCTGTCTGCTCAGAGTCCAGAGAAAACTTTCGCTCGCAACGCGCCCCGTCAGGCAATCTAACCCGGCCGAGCGGTTTTAATGTGCAATTCTGGTCGCCTCATGGAAGTATTTCACTTTTGGGAGATATTACCGGCTACTATATGATGATGGAAACCTTAGGAAGGATGACAATATTAGTTTACTATTGTGTAATAAATATATAATGTCAGAACGTAGCCCTTCCAGAACAAATGAAGCACCGGCAAGGATTTAAATAAAACACAATCTGGGTAATTCAGAGGAGAATGCTGATGTTACGGTTTCTTTTTCTTTTTTACTGATAGCTTTGTTTCATATTAATTTTCTTATCTTTGAATCTCAAGTCTGCTCTGAGTTAATTCCATATCTCTTTACTATGCACCGTCACCGTGACTGCAACAACTGACACTGAACACAGAGGAACACAATGACGCTTTTGTGACTGAGCAGGTTTAATCAGCAATAACTTATTGTGTGGAACATTGTGGCCACTTATCAAAGATTTGTGAGTCATAGCCAGAATGCTACGCACATAGGTGTGGTTAGCGGTCAAGCTTGTTCTCATGTGCCTTTGCTCTTGCATAAAGTTTAGATGCAGGACCGTGGCACTCAAAGAAGACAGATGCATGTAGAACACTGACTTTAAACTTTCACTTTGCACACCCAGGAATTGTGCACAGACACACAGCTTTTTCCAGCAAATCAGGTCTGGCTGAAGATCCCTCTGTGCACAGCGAGTGTGACAGATAGAAAAGCACAGTCGTGCATCTTAATTTGATCATTTGCTGAACACATGGAGAGAATAGAAACACCATCGTCTTCATTGCAGGAGCTAATGGTCCATTGTGCTGCTATTTGGAATATAATCATGGAGAGAAGTGAATGCCTTATTTGTGTGCAATTTTTTTTTATTAGTCAGTTTCAGAGTTTGGACATTAGCTTGCGGGGGAATGTGTTGACAGTTAAAAATGTTTTATTTTCAAATTTTGCAATTCAGGTCCAAGCCAGACCCCAATGTCATTCCCATTGTTCTCCTGCCTGTTG